TTCCGGGGTCTTCCTCTCCTGCACTGTCCTTCCATCTCTCCTGGCCAAGTGCCCAAAGTATATGATATGGAGCTTCATAATCCTAGCCTCCAAGGAGAAATTTGATTTCACCCTCTCCAAGATAGACCTTTTTGTTTTATTGGCAATCCATGGTATGTTCGAGACTCTTGTCTAGCACCACAACTTGAAGGCATATATTCTTCTTCTGTCATCCTTAGTCATTGTCCAACTTTCTAAAGCATAACAAGTAATTGCAAAGACCATGGCCTGGATTAGGGGCACCTTTTCTCTAGACAGACATTGTTGCTTTTCAGCACTCTGGAGAGGTTGCTGACAGCAGATTATTTCCAATGCAATTCGTCTTTTGATTTCCTGATTGCTGATATTAAGAGTGTTGATTGCAGAGCTGAGCAAGCTGTAATTGCTAACAACCTCATTCTCTTCTCCATCTATCATGATGCTGCCAGTTTGTCCAGTGGTGAGAATCTTTGTCTTCTTGACGTTAAGCTTCAATTTCTATTGAAGACTACAGTCCTTGACTTTCTGCAGCAAGCACTTCAGGCCTTCTTTAGTTTCGCCAAGCAAGGTTGTGTTATCTGCATAATGTAGGTTATTAATGACTCTTTCTCCAATCTTGATGCCACACTCCTCCTCATAAAGCCCTGCTTCCCAAATGATCTGTTCTGCATATAGATTGAGAAGCTATGGAAACAGGATGCATCCCTGACACACTCCTTTCCTAATTTTGAACTATGCAGTGTTTCCCTGCTCTGATCTGAGGATAGGTTTCATATAAGCACAATCAAATGTTCTGGGATTTCCATTTTCCTCAAAGTTAGCCACAATTTATTGTCATCCAGTCAGTCAAATGCCTTTGCATGGTCAATGAAACACAGACATTCCTCTTCTACTCTTTGATTTCTGCCAAGATCCGTCTGGCATTGAGAAGAATGTCTCTCATGCCATAACCTCTTCTAAACCCAGCTTGTGTTTATGATAATTCTCTGTCAATGTACTGTTCCAGTGGTTTCTGGATAAACTTCAGCAGGATTTTGGTAGTCTGTGATATTAGTCACCTTGTTCTATAATTTCCACACTCTGTTGTGTCCCCCCTTTTTTTTTGAATGATAATCAATATGGATATTTTCCATTCATTTGGCCAACTCCAGATTTCTTGGCACAACTTGGTGAGCACATCATTGGTACTTCCTGAAATATTTCCGTGTCAGCCAATTCTTTTTGGTACAGTGACTCTGTGTATTCCCTCCATCTTGTTTTAATGCTTCCTAGATCATTCAAGATTTTTCCCTTAGTATCATCCAACTGGATGCTTGAATTTCCAGTTCTTCCATCTTGAGACATGCCAACTAAGTTCTTTTTATTCTGAATCCTGTTCTCTGCACATTTCATTATAATACTTTGCTTTATCTTCTGGAGTTGTACTTTGAAATCTTCTGGTTAGACCTTTTACTTCAGCATCTGTTCTCTTTGCTTTTGCCTCTCAACTCTTCCATGCAATTTCTAGAGTTTCTTCTGATATCTATTTTTCTTTTGCCTCTGTATTTGACCTTTTGTTCTCTTCATGGATGTCATCCCACAGATCATGTGGTCATCAATCATTGATGTCCAAACTTTCAAGCTTATATTTGAGATGATTTTGAAATTCAGGTGGGATAGACTCAATGTCATATTTTGGTTTTCTTGGGTGTGTTTTCATTTCTTCACCTCAGTTTGAACTTATACGTGAGCAATTGATTCCACAGTCTCACCTGAACTAGTGTTGACTGATGATGTTGAGTTTTTCCAATGATTCCTTCCACAGAGAGAGTCAATCTGATTCCTATGCAGTCCATCAGGTGAGCTCCATATGTAAAGTTATAGTTCGTGTTTTTTTAAAAAAGGCATTTTCAATGAATAAATCATTGAGCATACAATATTCAATCATTCAATTTCCAGCCTCATTTCTGTCATGAATTTTGTACTTTCCAACTGCCATTCCTTCTTCATTGTCTCCAGCTTTTGCATCCCAGCCACCAACTATTACTAATGCATCTTAATTGCTAGTTCAGTCAATTTCAATCTGCAAAATTTAGTAAAATCCGCCCATTTCCTCCTCCTTGGCTTTAGCTATTGATGTGTATATTTGAATAATAGTTGTAATAATTATTCATATATACACTTGACAATGAGGAAGCATTTATTACATTTAATCACGTTGTATTCTGTTGCATTATTTTACTTATTATTATCATCATCATTATTTTACTCATTTACCAGCTAGGCTTTTGTTAATATTTAAATGTGTGATCCCCAACCTGAAGAAGGGAGGTCTTGTGGATTTTCAAGTTCTATAGGACATCCAATTTCTCCTTGGTTGGGTTTTATCTGAGTGAAATGAAAATGGGCATGTCAGTTGGCCAAAAGTGATAGAGGCAAAGGCGTGGAGATGGGATTGCGTATGGTAAAACTTGCAAAGGCGAGGAATAAATCTAGGAGTTTGGGTAGAGGAGAAAATAAGATTTGTCATCTCGAGAGCTCCTAATACAACAACCAGCATAGTATGTTAATCAAGACAACACTGGTTTCCTTAGCAGTAAAGCCTCAAACGCTCATAATCATGACATTTATTTCCTTTATGTGAAGTCTATAATGAGTATGCCTGTGGTTGACTATTTCAAGCAATAATTTAGGAGCTGAAGTCTTTCTATCTTGTGGCCATGCCATCTTTAACACAGTACTTCCAAAGTCATGACAGAAGGCCAGAGTGCGTGGATGGCACTGCATAGGATTTTGATGAACCGGACCTGGAAGTAATATGCATCATTTCAGCCTACATTTCTCTGCAAGGGAGTCTGGGGAGTGGATATGTAACACAAGAAATAAGGACCTTACGGTGAAGAAGTAAAAAGTTTCTGTAGGAAATATATGGAAACATTTAGTATATATTCACTTAGTGCCTAGTGTGTTAAACATGGTAAACATAGTTAAACATGGCCCCATGCAGAAAGTAACTTTGGAGTTAGGGGGATCATGGTAAAAGTATTATTTTAAGAAATTAGTTTAATGAGTATATACATATAAAACAAAACAAAGGAAGACAAACTCCATACAAGATTGATAAGACAATCAATGGTTGTTATTCTCTAGCTGGTAGATAATGAGATTTTATCATGAATAGTAGTTGTTATTATGTGCCAGACAGTGTTCTAAATGTTCTAAGCCACTTTGTTGGTGTTATTACATGCTGTTGAGTCGTCAGTGACTCGTAGCTCACCCTCCAGTGGGTTTTCAGAGGCTGTATTGCATGGGAGAAGGTTGTCAGTCTTTCTCCCATGCAGTAGCCGGTGAGTTCAAACCTTTGCCAGTACAACACCTTAGCCAGTAGACCAAGACAGCTCTCTTAAGCAAATGTATATGTATTTCTTCTTTACTCAAATTTAAGAATGTTGTATTAGGCAAAACTCCTGCTAAGGCCTTCTTTAAAGTGCTAAAGGGCAAAGATATCAGTATAAAGACCTCCTCCAAACGATGATATTTTCAGTTACTTCATGTGAAAGGTACACAAAGCAATAAGGAAGATCAAAGATGCCTTTGAATTGTGGTGTTGGCAAAAAAAATGTTGACTATACCATGGACTGCCCGCTAACAGACAAATCTCTGTTGGACGAAGTGCCACCAGGGCTCTCCTTAGAGGCAGGGAAGGCGCACTTTGTTTCATATACTTTGGGCAAGTTATCAGAAGCTACTAGTCCTGGGAAAGTACTATTATCCTGGGAAAAGTAGAGGGTTGGCAAAGACAGGAAGACACACGAAGAGATGGATTGACACAGTGTCTGCAGCGGTGGGTCTGACTTTGGGCAGAGATTATGAGAATGCTTCAGGATAAGGCAAGATTTTAATCTGTTACTCACAGTGTTACGGATCAGTTATAGTCGGCTTCATTGCACCTGAAAACAAATGTATGATTCAGGTACTATCAGTAGTCTTTTCAAGATGAGAAAAGAAGACTTTATAGGGTTAATTTTCACATATTTACATAAATCTTGGCAGGACTATTGATTTTTAATTTAAAATATAATGTTGTTTTTAGAACTAAAATTAATAGGAGACAAATTAATAGAAACATAACAAATAAATTAAAAAGAATCATTTAATAAATTAAGTGAACAATGATTAAAAAATCTGGAATCTCCCCCCCAGGTCCACTCCACTATGCATCCTTCGTTCTGGACTCCTGTCATGACAATAATATGGGGAAACTTTTACTTTTCAGAGAAATGAGTGTACTGGGGGGGGAGGGGGTGGGCAGGGAGAAAAGTGCAACAATAAATGAATGGAAATCCAAAGTCTCTGTAAATTTTCATTAAAATTAATAAAAACAAATCTGGAATCTATTTCAAAACACTCTCCAACTTAATAAGAGACCATCCTAACTTTAAGAGAAGTTGGAGGTTTATTCTTTTTTTATTTTATTTATTTTATTTTATTATTTTTATTTTATACTGATTTATTTACAGTTGATATACATTGTTTTTCCCACTGGATCTTTCCCATTTCCTTCACACCCCACCCACCCATCAAATTGTGCGACCCTATGATTAACTGCCCCTATCCATGAAGGTGCAGTCTTCTAAGACATACCACTAGGTCTTCAAGCATACTTAATTGAATTTAGATCAAATCTGAAAAATTTTGGGTAAATATGTGCCTAGTTATGAGTTTTAAGTGTTTACTAAGCTCTCAAGAACAATTTATTATCTTCAATTCTCCTACTGTCATGATAAATATCCTAGAGTACCCATTTCTTTCTCTGATGTCCTTTTCATGATTGTAACAGAAAAAGACATAATACTGGAAAATGTAGAGAGACGTTAAAATACTGGCAGGTTCTCAATGAGGTGGATTATTCCCGTGACTGTAACAATGATCTTGAATTTCCAGAAAATCTAAGTTGACACCAGTGACATTGGGTTGTTGACATGATGTTCTGTTTTTGACAGTTGACTGTTGGGATGGCCCAGATGGAGAACCAGTGGTACACCATGGTTATACTCTCACTTCAAAAATTCTCTTCAGAGATGTGGTGGAGACCATCAACAAGCACGCGTTTGTGAAGAATGAGTAAGTATTGCAACACTAAGAAGCCAAACTCTCCACCAAACAGGTGGAATATCACCGGATGACACATGACTATAAGACCATCCACCCTTCCTTGAACTCTATATTTACTTTTGTCCTACCCCTTTCTCTCCTTTCCTACCAGAAAAACATCATGAACAAATAATATGAGTTCCTTATTTGCACTTTCTAATCTTTCATTTAGTCTTTATTCTTTTCTCTTGCACATTGATTCCTTGAAAATATTCTTAAAAGTTGTTGTGCTCTGTCGAGTCAGAACTGACTCACAGCTGACCCTCCAGAGGGTTTTCGTAGGGGGTTGATTCTCCTGCAGAGCAGCTGGTGGATTTGAAACGTGTACCTTTGGGTTGGCAGCTTAAAATGTCTATACTCAGAGGTGATAGAGCACTGGAAAAACAACGGAGTTCTGATGTCAAGGAGCTTACAATTCAGACTTAGCTCCTTATCTCATTCTGCTAAACCTTCTTCTACTTAGTTTGCTTTTAGTAAGAGGCAACATTACCATTTTGCTTTAAACAGAAACTCGTAATCATTCTCTGTGCTCTCATTCTTGCCTATCCAATTCCTAAGCATTTTTGTTTTATTAATTATAATGAAACTTTACAGAGACTTTGGATTTCTATTCATTCACTGTTGCACTTTTCTCCCTGCCTGACCTCCCCCACCGTTCACTCTTCTCTTTGAAAACTAAAAGAAAAATTCTTTCATTGTTATACAATCCCTCCTTCCAAGTCCACTCCACTATGCAGAATTCTGTCATGACAAAAATACCTAATCATATACTAAACATATTTAGACTTTCTTGCCTTCTCTCCATTTTCTCTTCCTCTTTGGTGCATCCTCCCCGAGAACTGCAAGACTCCTATATTTACTTCTATATTTACTTTTGTCCTACCCCTTTGGAGGCCTGGCTTCTTCCTTCTCTTCCTGAGTCATCTGTCTTGCACTGTTTCTCCTCACAAACTTCGCCCTCGTGTGCTTTCGGTGACTGTCTTTTCGCTTCCGCAGGGATCCTTGCTCTCTCACAAGTCCTTGTCCTAACTCATGCTACTTTCTCTACCTTAACCTCTTTCCTCACTATGTAGTCTTCCTAATTCCTGTTCATACTACAGAATTCTACCGCGTTACTGCTCTGGCAAATCTGCTGATGCCGTCAGCTGATTTCTATGCCCCTTTTCTTGTTTCTTAGATCCCTGAGTTCTGTCATATATCCTTAAACCAAACCAAAACACACTGCCATTGCGTTAATTTCTTGCCTTGACAAGAAACTCCTAACAATCCTCCATTGGATTTCTAAGGCTTTAAATTCTTATGGGAGGAAAGTGCCTGTCTTTCTCCCCGAGAAGTAGGTGATGGATTAGAACTATCAATCTTTGTCATAGTAGCAGTAGCCTTACAAGCCATGCACTATGGCACCAGGGCTCCTTTCTGTCATGTCAGCACTCTAAAAATTTTTTCCTTCCTCTATTTTAAGTCTTTTTTTCCCCCTGCAGTCTTTATTTACTGTCCAACTTCCAAATGCATACAGAATAACTGAAAATACCCCAGCTAGGAACAAGAACATCTTAGTCTTTATACTGATATCCTTGCTCTTTAGGACCTTATATGCTTTAATAGTGTTTACTTACAAGTTGAGATGTAGAGAGTAAGGAGAAAATTTCGTTCCATTGCTTAATAGTCTTATACAAGATTCATATCATACTATGTGGGACCTCAATGCTTACTAAAATATCATTGCTTATTGAATAATTTTAATCTTTCCCAAAGAAGTTACTATTAGGAATCTCCTGGGAAGTAAATATTTCCTACTTGTTCCATAGTATCTTTTTTTTTAAATAATTTTAATGAACATTTACAGAGAATTGGATTTCCATTCATTCATTGCTGCACTTCTCTACCCGCCCAGCCCTCTCCCCCCGCCCCCCAGTTCACTCCTCTCTTTCAAAAGTAAAATAAAGGCTCCCTCCCTGGTACACAATCCCCCCGCACCCCTCCCACCGCCCCAAGTACATTCCACTGTGCAACCTTTATTGTGGACTCTTGTGATAACCATAATACCCTACCATACATTGCTTTTAAATTATTCAGTCCCTCATCTATTTTAAGTCTTTAAGAATATAAACTCATACCAACAAAGAAGCTTATCTTTTGCTTTTCAAAGAGAGGAGCAAACTAGGGGGGGGGGGTAAAGAAAAAAGTGCAACAATGAATGAATGAAAATCCAAAATCTCTGTAAATGTTCATTAATATTAATAAAATAAATTTAAACAAACAAAAAAGAATATAAACTCAAAGGAGCTCTGGTGGCCTAGTGGCAAGAAGCTGCACTGCAATCCCAGAGCTGCACGGTTCAAATCCACCAGATGCTCTGCTGGAGAAGGAGGGTCAATCTCCTCCTGTACCAGTCAGCTCTGATTTGATGGTACACACACACACACACACACACAAATAATAAAATTAAATTAAAAAAGAATATAAACTCACAGAAAATGAAAGGCTATATCTTATTAATTTCTAACAATTGTGTTTACAATACACTAGATATTTTAAAATTTTATTTTGAATTCAAAGAAGTGAGTTAAAATTTTAATGATGTGATATTAATGTTACATAAATTTTATCATTAAAATGGAAAACTTTTCTCCTCATTAACTAATCATGTGGTTAAACTTCTGTTCTAATGAGAGACTCTTGCTGGGTTTTAAGTTTAGTTTACATATCATTCACATGGCAGAACATTGAGTACTAAACTCTGGCAGGCTCGCATTACTCTGGTAACTGATTTATCCAGACTGAAGTAGTAATTTTACCTTTATTTTCCAAGAGTGGAGTGTCAGAGAAAGAGCAGAAGACCCTTAGTAAGGAGGATTAACACAGTGACTTTAACAGCAACAGGGGACTGAAGAATGACAAAGGTTGTGAGGACGGCACAGGGGAAGGCAAGGTTTAGGCCCATAGCTCAAACAGTTGTTATGAGTCATTGTTAACTTGATGGCACCAAAAACAATCACAACCTGAAATAGGCTGATGAAAACACCCTTGCTGTCTATGAGCTTTGTAAGAGCCCCTAGTGACTTGACAATGTTTTGTTTAAGTTTGAGAACCTTCAGGAGAAAGACACTTGAAATAAAGACAAGAAATTTGCTCAGCACATTTAAAAGTTCTGTCTTTATCTTTTTCAAATTTTAATTTTATTCTTTTATAAAAGCTTCTCACCCTTAAAACTCCTGATCTTTTGGTCAGCTCCTTCAGAGCCTGTCCTGAGCCTCACACAATGGCTATCCGTTTCTATCTAGAGGTGCTCAGAGATCCACACTCTAAGTTTTGTAACCACCAAAATGATTTCCAAGCATTGTCAGACTACCCCTGGAAGGGACTGGCGATGGTGACAGTGGGCACAGATCCCAAGCTGAGAAGCGCTGTCTTAGACCAAGCAGCACTGTTGTTACGTGCGCTTGAATTGGAATCGAGTCCTAGTTGACCTTCCAGCTGGCTCTCAGAGGCTGTAAATCAGAGGAAGTTGTTTCTCTTTCTCTGGAGGAGAAGCTGGTGGGTTTTAATTGCTTGTCAAGCATCATTGTTTTTCAGCCTTTATGTTGATTCTAAATCATAACCACCCTGTAAACAACAGATCCGAGCCCTGCCCTGTTCTGCACCACCTCCAGGATCTCTCTCATGCTCAGACTCGTTTGAGCCCATCTTACTGAGGTCTTCTCCTCTGACTCTCTACCTCTCCCAGTATGAAGTCTCTCACCAACTACTGATTTACCCCGAGCATGTGCCTGACTAAGTGGGGCTAAGTTCGGCCATTCTTGCCTGTCAGGCAGACTCTGGTTGCACCTCCTTCCAATATCATTAGGTATCGATAATCTGAAACTCAAGCTCATTGCTGAGGAGAACAACTCATGGCAGACTCTCCCTTGGATTTCTGAGGCTGTAATTATCACAGGAGGAGATTGCCTTTCCTTCTCCTATGGGGAGGCTGGTGGATTTGAACTACCAGAGTGATGAGGCTTGTTGGTTAACAGCACAACTCTCTACAGACTATGTCCCTAGAGCTCCCTAGCAGACTGACTGCCTATACGAATTGATCATTTATAGATTTATTGCTTATGCTTCCTGGTGTGGCTACGGAGGTAGTTCAGGGCTGCCAGCTGATGCTGTGCCTTCTGGCATGGCAGGATGACGCCAACGTGAGGGTGTAGGAAGCAGTGTGTAGGCAGATAACTGAACCAATTTCCGACACAAAGGTTCATCACTGATTTTACCTTGGACATCAGCTTTTACTATGGAAGGCAGAATGCAAGTTTAGAAGGTCATAGCCTAATAATCATGGACCTTGTGGCTGTCACAGAAGCACACAAATAGAATTTCCTTCTCTATATGGAAGGATACAGTTTAAATTGGGGGGGGGGAAGACATTACTTATTAACTTTGAAGATATCTCATGTAAAACAAGGGGGGAGGAAATCTGTAAACCAGAATTGGACACAACTTCATATGAGAAAAGAAAGAACGGAGGAAGAATATCGACATATCACCAGCCCTGATTCCTTTTCGGCCCTGCCCGCCAGTTCCACAGTCTGTCCTTGAGTTCTCATTTACATGAGTTTCATATTCTCAGCACAAACTCTTATGTGTTGATTGAGTGAATGCTGGACTTTTTTTTTTTTTAAGTGAAGACTAATATATAATTTTACAAAAAGGATTTGAAATGCCTGATATGGGGGTTAGAAAACACAGAGTTCAATTATGTCATTTTATCCTCAGTGATAATTTTCCAGCTAAGGGGTGAATATATATATATTTTTTTTTCTGGGGAAAATAACTGTACCTCACAGCATTCATTCAGTGGTCTTTTAGATATTTCTAAACTTTAGATCAAATAAGGCACAATTACATTGTGTACGTTTTCTTCTTTAGACTAATTATCTCTCCCAAGTTTTTCTCTTTTAAAAGAAACGTAATGTGCTTGCTATTTTTTCCCCTGATATAAAATAGGAACCGTAAAGCCAGCCCACATGAATTGATATTTTATTCAGTCATTATGCATTGCAAAGTGTATCTTTTCCAGAGGAGCTTTTTATAAGTGCAACTCTAATCTTTCTCATTGTAGAGGCACTTTAGTCCTTGCCGTTATCACAGTATTGTCAAGCACTGCGTAAAGCCCACTGCGTACTGAATGATGCTGCAAACCTTCTGCTAGGTTGCCTTTGTCTGATACCTTCGGAATGTGTTGCTCTTTTCTCAGGTTTCCGGTTATATTGTCCATTGAGAATCACTGCAGTGTCCAGCAGCAAAGGAAAATTGCGCAGTACCTGAAGGGAATATTCCAGGACAAGCTGGACCTGTCTTCCATAGACACAGGAGAGTGCAAGCAGCTGCCAAGCCCTCAGAGTTTGAAAGGCAAAATCCTAGTGAAGGTAAACGCCTCAAGGAACTCCATAAAGGCATTGTCCATCAACTAAGCCCTCACTCCATCAAGAGACTAGGAATTAGGATCAACAATGACACAGAGTCTAGATTTACTTAACCACCACAGGCCAACATATTTATGGTCATTCCTTGGAAAGAAGCTTATTATTGACTCACCGTGTGCTCTGGGAGTTGTCCTTATGAAGTCAGAACATCAATACTATAAGAAAATGTTTACGATTTTAATGTCTAATAGGTCACACCAGAAAGAAGTGTGTGTGGGGAGGAGGCAGTCTGGAGGGAAGGAGAAGGGTCCTTATATCTGAAAGCATTTCTTTCAGATTTTTCTTTCCTATTTCAAGCTCCAATAACTATAAAAAAAAAGTCTTCATGCTTGATCAGCCTTGGCTACGTAGGTGAGAAATGCTTGCTTCAAAAAGGAACATGGATGCAGACTCACAGGCCCAGGGGAATTGTGGGTATGCCAAGGAGCAGCAGGTGAATAGAATGACATTTCATAAACAGGTTTTCTGTAGGAGGGATCATACGACTTGCAGTGAGTCCTGTTGCTTCACAGACTAGACACAAAGGCTGATCCAGTGTGTTTTCTGATTGCTAACTGTGCAAATCTACTTAATTCCAGTTCCTTTTGTGTGTATGCACTAAAATACCTTTGATGTTTTACACTGTTTTAACAGGGTATTATTATTCAAATTATTATTATTATTATTCATATTTTACTTATATGGAGTATACATATAGCCAGGCCCCCATCACAAATGTGATCAGCTCCTAAGTGGGTCTTCATGTATGTTTGTAAGAAAGTCAGTGCAGATTTGTGTTTTTAATTTCTTGTTGATTGCCTTCAAGTCAAGCACGACTCATGGCGACCCTATGAACAAAAGGCCTGAAGCCCCTCTAAAACTATCGACATTTATCAAAGTTCATAGAATTTTTGGAGGCATGTTGTTTAGGAAGTAGATGCCACTCCTGCTTCTTATTTGTTGTTGTTGTTGTTAGGTGCCATTGAGTCGTAGACGACTCATAGCGACCCTATGAACGAAAGGCCTGAGCACTGTTCAGAGTTTCCAGAGGCAACCCATTTCGGAAGTGGATGCCACTCCTGCTTCCAGGCTTGTTTTATTCGGGGAGCTCCACCAAATACTATCCACCATGGGTAACCATTACCACGTTTGGCACATCAGTGTCACAGTGTTTAGCTTCACAGCAACCATGAGTTACCTCTGTACAGCAATGCACAGTCCAGTGCTATACCACCTAGAGGAATGTTTGACAGGAAAACAATTTGAACCAGGCCTGAGGGCTGCAGATTAAAATCACCCACGTTGGGCTTGGTAGCATAACTTTCTTTCCACTAGGCCAACGTAGCTCTCTCGGTGCCATCAAGTCGTAGATTACTCATAGTGACCCTATGAACGAAAGGCCTGAGCACTGTTCATAGAGTCTTACTTAAATACAAGAAAATAGGAATCCTTGACTGAAAAACCAGCAGTTCAAATCTACTACTGGACAAAGATTCACCTGTTAAAGTAAAAATTTGCTCTTAACAACATTTACAGCTTTGGAAACCTTAAGGGTTGCTCCAAGTCTAAATCTACTTGAGGGCAGTTTTTTGTTTTGTTTATCTTTGCTTAGTGAATTAAAGGCTTGATGACTTTTCACTGATTGAAATATATCAAGTGAAGGTGCTTGTGATGAAGAATTTGCTACTGATTCAGTCATTTCAAAGTGAGAGCAGATTTATGTAACATTAAAGGGTTGGGAGGAGCTGTTTGTAGGTAAGTTGTTATAGCAACTTGCTGTATAGAAGAACTGATGTAACATACAGAGGAGAAGACTTCCCAGAGGAGGCCTTGGCTGAAGGCTGTGTGAGGGCTCCGGTGATGTAGTCTGTAGGGAGTTGCACTAGTCATTCAAAGGGGACACTTCTTGCTGGTGGTTTGATCCAGCAGTGGCTCATGGGAGATAGATGAGCAGTCTCCTTCGGCTCACTGTTCAGCCTCTAAAACGCCCACGGGAGGGTCAGCTCTGCGTTGATTCCTACTCTATAGCAATGAGTTTTTTGAGATGCGGGAAGGCAGCCGGTGAAAAAATGTGAAGCGTTCATCTTTGGCATTGCTAAAACCTGCTTTGCTCTCAGTTCCATGAAAATGATAGACTCTGAATCCATCTAAGAAGTGTTGTCAAGTCACCTGTATGTTTACAAGCATTCTGAAGAAAAAAAGAAAAGAAAGAAAAGCAAATAATGCTAGGCATAGTAGTGAGGTTGGTCTGCTTGGAGCCCCTTGTGGTGAACTTTGTTGTGTGTGGATTTTTCCCCTGCCTTGTGATTGCTGTAGGGGTGGTTACTGTTGACTTGAAACCAGCCCATAGCTGACTCTCCTCTGGGGAGTTTTCAGAGACTGGAAGTTGCATGAGAGGAGATTGCCCACCTTTCTCCTGTGAACAGCTGGTGGATTTCTTACCTTGGTTTTTGCAGGGCAATTCCTGAGCACTATGCCAACAAAATTCCCTATTGCTAACTTTGGTTTTGTTGTTGGAACCAACCCATAGCTGACCTTCCAGCAGGTTTTCAGAGGCAGTAAGTCACATGGGAGGAGACTGCCTGTCCTCCCCTGGAGCAGCTGGTGGATTCGAACAGCATACCTCTGGGATTGCAGCACAACTTCTTACCATTAAGCCACCAGCAAATCTAAATATCCCCTCTATAACCTTGTAAATGGTTCAATTTATTTATTTATTTTGTTTTTTAAATGCTGTTTTATTTACAAAGTTTGTGTACATTGTTCTTTTATACCGGATCTTTCCCATTTGCTTCACTCACCTCCCCCTCCTTCCACCCATCAAACTGTGTGACCCTCTGATTAACCACCCTCGCCCCCGACCCATCCTCACCCCTCTGGCCCTACCCTCCCTCTTCCTTGGGTCCTCATACTCATTCTACAATAATAGTGTTATACAGTATTTGTCCTTATGTGACTGAGTTACTTCACTCAGCATAATGCTCTCCAGTCCCTCCCAAGTTAGGTAGTAATTTATAAAACCATTGCTCCTGCATGCTGCGTAGTGTTCCATTGAGTGAATGTACCATAATTTCTCAATCCATTTGATTGTGGTTGGACATTTGCACTATTTCCATATTCTTGCGAGGATGAATACCATAGTTTTTTAATATTTTTTTATTTCTTGCAATTATTATTTTTTTTTAATTTTACACTGGTTTACCTACAAAGTTTGTGTCCATTGCACCTCATGTCAGATCTCCCCTACCTCCCTAACTCACCTCCCCTCCACCCATCAACCATGCGACTCCATGACTACCCCTCCCTCCCTGAGATCCGCATACATGTTTTACTAGTTACACTGATGGTCTTGTACCGTATTTGTCCCTCCACGTCTCTGCAGTGGTCTTTAGCCCACAGTCAGAGGTTAAATGAGAGGAAGTCCATTCGATTGAAACCCTTCCCTTTCAGACAGTGGAAGTCACAGAGGATCCTTGACACGAACTAATTGAATCACTTTCTGCCTGGATGAATTTTGGGTCATTTGGCAGAAGTGTCGTAGGGTTTATGGTCAGCAGAGGAAATCAGAGCCAAAATGTCCGAGGCTGTCACTCGCTGGAAGGACTGACAGCCACATAGACAGCAAGTACTTCAAGGGCACCTGAGATCCATTTGCCAGAGGAAGATTTCTGTCAACATGGATCAGCTTATTCCTATCCGAAGCAAAGTCGAGGGATTCATTTATCTAAAGGAACCTCTTTTTCTATGTTTCTCGATCAAAATATTGCATTTGATTGGCTACTTAACGCTGTGCAGAGTGGCAAGCTGTGCGTTTTAATAACTGTGACACACACAGAGACATACTTCCCAGAACCAATAGAGAACTTACTCATTTTCCATAGGCTCTTAGCTAGTTCACCCTTTCCTGGTTTTAAAGCGGCCAGACACCACAAGTAGTCCTAGTCTCTCGGGTTCTTTCTGGATACTACAGCCAAAAGATGCTAAATCTAATGTACACATTCTGCATAAAATATCATGTAGACCAGAAAGAGATCCCAAGAAGAGATCTAAGTCGTGTTTTCATATCTACAGGACCACAGCTAAGTGCGTGTGCACATGTGTGTGTACGTGTGTATGTATACATATGTATTAGACTTTGTTTTCTTAGAGCAGTGTTAGGCTTTTAGAAAAATGGTACAAAAAGGAGAGATTTTTTCCCCCCTCTCTGTACTTCTTACACTGTTTGTCCTGTCATTAACATCTTGCATTTTGTGCTATGCATTTATTAAAATTTACTAACTAATATTGGGGAAGGGGAAAGCACAATAAATCAAAAATCCTTAGCCATTGGATTGATCCCATCTCATCGTGCCCCTGAAATGCCCAGGTGGTTTCTAAGGCTGATAAATCTCGCTGGAAGCAGACTCCTCATCTTTCTTTTGTGAAGAGGCTGTTGGGTCCGAACCCCTGGCATTCTGGTGAGAAGTCAAGCTCTTAACTATGTTCCTTAACCAGCATTCCTTAACCATCACACATGATTATTAACTAAAGTCCGTAATGTCACTGGACTTTGCACGTTGTGTTATACATTATATGGGTTTGAGATACTGTCATGAGTACACTGTTACACATTGTAATTTCCTGGTCATTTTAATCATATTTTTAAAAAATGGAAAATGAGGGTGATCTGTGAATGCCCTTGAGGAAGCAGCTCTCTTTTAGCCTCTCATCCTCTGACCTGAATCAAGGGAAATTGAAATCCGATGGTCCTGCCTGCTCTTTCTACTCTCTCGCCACCCCTCCTACTTTCTATTCTAAGTGATATCCAAACCATCTGTATCACTTGATGGTTCTAACTCCCTAGTTGGTTGTGATCTGATGAATATGAGAAAAAAAAATTATATATATATATCAGCTTTGATCCTTGAAAAATAAAGCCCCCAAAGGAGTTTTTGTTAACTGTATTTTAAATGTTTGTGTGTATGTCTGTCTTCATGATTTTCAGTGTGCTCAAGATAAAATTGACTCTCCCTAAATCGTTTGTGAATTAATAAAGGATGTTGTATCTCTATATATTCCTGAATATGTCTGATCACAACACAATTGATTATTTCTAGTGCCACTGTATTACCATAACTATATCATTAATCGAACCTAAAAGAAAGAAATAGAAACTCATTTTTAGGGTTTTATGTCTCAACCACGAGCCCTGGTTGTGTACTGGGCTTTCGTGGAAAGGGTGGTGATGAAATCCACTGTCTTCTCTGTGGGAGAATTATGAGACATGTGTTCCCGTGAAGATGTCTAGGCTCAGAAAGCCAGGGGAGTGCGTATGTGAGCTGGAATGAGCTCAAATGTGATTGCTGTAGTTAGCTGCTGTGGAGTCGAGTATGACTCATAATGACCCTATGAACAACGGACCTGAACCCTGTGCTGTCCCGTGCCATCTTCACCGTCTCTGACACCCCTGAGCCCACTGCTGCAGTCACTGTGTCAGTCCATCTCATTGAGGGTCTTCCTCTCTTTTGCCCACCCTGCATCTTTCAAAGCATGATCAATAAGACATAAAATAGTATGTTACTTTGTAGAATAAGTGTCTTATTAATGGCTTGTTCTCAGTGATATCTAGAAAGAGGTGACATTGTTTTGTAAATATAAATATATATGTGTGTGTGTGTGTATGTATGTACACACACACACACACACACACACACACACACACACACGTAAAGGTGGCCATGTTGTTCCTGTATAACTCCACAGGGTTTCTGTGACTTCTTGCTGCCTGAACATGGTGTGCACAAGTAATCGCAAGTTTTTTGGGATCGTGTGCTTTTTTGGGCTTGTCTTTGATGTGTAGGACTGCTCTTCCCCCCAGGAGTGAGGCCCTTGAGGCTTGGCCTAGGATTTAAGGCATGCGGTGGCTTAATAGTTGTTTTTTTTTTTAAACATTCTTCTAGGTGACATAGCACTGGTCTGTCCATTTGCTGTACAGAGGTAACTCTGGTTGCTGTGAAGCTAAACACTGTGACACTGATGTGCCAAATGTGAGAATGGTTACCCACGGCAGACAGTGTTTGGTGGAGCTTCCCGATTAAAACAGGCTTGGAAGCAGGAGCAGCATCCACTTCCTAAATGGCTTGGCCTCTGGAAACTCTATGAACAGTGCTCAGGCCTTTCATTCATAGGGTCATTATGAGTCATCTATGACTTGACAGCACCTACACACACACCCCCCAGTGTGAAAACCTTGTGAGACATTTTAGAGACTACTCACCCCAGTGGCCTTGTCTACTTAGCCTTGGAGCCTGGGTCTCCATGCCCACTCAATCTCTTAGAACATATATCTCAGCTAAGCCCACTGCTGCATCTGACTCATGGCCACCCTACGTGGGTAAGTGGGTTTGGTTTTAAAGAAACAGATGCCCAGGCTTGTCTTCCAAGGCTCCTCCTAGTGGGTTTGAACCGCTAACCCTTCCGCTCATTATCACTTGCGCCCCCCAAGGTCTCCTCCTTTAGAAGCTGCTGTGATTACTGGATGCTGTTGGGGTGTTTTCTACCCAGAGTAGCCCTGCCGCACAGCGCCCCCTGGCTGTGAGCCTCTCTAAAGCACAGTGTCTCATCTCTATTCCGAGGACCAGCTTTGGGTTTGTGTACTGACCGGTCATACAGAGCAGAGCTCCACTGTAGGATTCTCTTGGCTGTGATCTTTCTAGAAGCAGACTGCCAAGTTTTGCTTCCATGTGCCACTGGCCCCCTTTCTCTAGAAGATACTCCTGTTCCATCTCCGATGCAGTTATCTTTCTGTTTGTAAGTGTCCCTGGGCTTTGCGCAATGTGACCACTTTTTGCTTATTAATGTTTTCTCAGTGTAAATTGGTAAACAAAGGACAAAATACCACCAACACAATGGTTATGTCGTCATCTTTGATAACTATATAACCATTTTTTCCTAACCAGACCCTGTACTTTTTTTTTTACTATTTTCATCTTCCCCCCCTTTTTTTAAATTTTTTTTTTTTACAGAGGTTTTGGATTTCCATTCATTCATTGCCGCAATTTTCTCCCTGCCCACCCCTCCCCACCAGCTTGCTTCCCCCTCCGAAGAAAGAAAGAAATATAAAATACTTCATTAGTATACAATTCCCACATCCCTCCCCCCCCCCACCCCGAGTACACTTCTCTATGCAACCTTAATTCTGGATTCCTGTGCTAACCATAATACTCAATCATATATCACTTCTACTCTGTTCTTTCCCTCATCTGTTTCAATACAATATACATAATTTATCCAGTTTTTTCTGTCATACCCCCTCCCTGATGTCAGACCCATTCTACAACAGTGGCACCATGCAGTATTTGTCCCTTTGTGACTGAGATAGTTCACTCAGCATAATGTACTCAGACCCTGTACTTTTAGAAAAGCTACTGAGGGTCTCGTTAGAGACGGTGATGGCAAGCTTTGCCTCACGTGCTTTGGGCATGTTGTTGGGAGGGACCAGCCGGGGGGAAAGGACATCGTGCTTGGGAAGGTGGAGGGTCAGTGAAGAGAAAACCCTCAACAAGACTGATTGACACAGTGACTATCACAATGGACTCGAGTGTATCAGAGATGATGAGGAAGGTCCAGGCGAGGCTCAGATCTGTCCATCTGGTTGCTGTGAGTCGTACTTGACTCAGTGGCATCTAACAACAACAAGTGAGGGCTTCTGCACGTCCAATTCTAACGTCTTACTATGGCGTTGTGAGAACTGTGTGTTGGTCGGTGGGGCTTGAGTGTCCTGAGAAGAGTGTGAGCTGGGGAGGGTCTCATGTTGAAAGGAGGGGCTGGTCAAACCCTGGGCAGATCTGAGTGAAAGAGCCTGGTGAACCTCCAGGAAGAACAAGCCACTCGTACCGGGTTTATAATGGCTTGGAGGCGATTTTTATTGTGATGAATCATAAGTTCCTAAAAAGTCTCGTGTGAGCTTTATTTCTAAACACTACTACTTAATTATATTTATTTAAAAGTAATACAAATTGCTCTTCCTGAAATTTCGCTTTTCCTTTCTTTCACTCCTAATTCAGAATCCGTGTCTTTTTGTCAGTGTGAGGCCATGACTAGCCAAGGTCAAAGCCGAACCCACGGCTGTGGAGTTAATTCCCTGTGGTGGTGACACCGCTGAGCAGAGCTGCTCCACAGAGTTCCCGAGGCTGTAAATCTTCCCAGACACACACCAACTTCTCTTTCTTCCCATGAGCAACTGTGGGCGTGAGTGCTGACCTGTCACTCAGCAGTCGTGCGAGTCAACCACTCTACGACCAGGGTTTGTGGTCTTCGCAATCACTTGTTATGCATCAGAGAGTTGGACAATGACCAGGGAGGACAGAAGGAGAATTGATGCCTTTGAGCTGTGGTGCTGGAGAAGAGTATTGAGAATACCATGGACTGCTAGGAAAACAAACAGATTCATCCTGGAAAGGGTTAAACCAGGTGGCTCCTTGGAGGCAAAGATTCTGAGGCTCCATCTAACATACTTTGGACATGTTGTGAGGAGGGACCAGTCCCTGGAGAGGGATATCATGCTTGGGAGGGTGGAGGGACAGCGCAGGAGAGGAAGGCCCGCTATGAGGTAGATTGATTCAGTGACTGGGATAATCGGGATGGGAGTGTCAGAGGCACTGTGATTGGCACAGGACAGAGTGGAGTTTAGGGCTGTTGTACATAGGGTCACTATGAGTCGCAAGCGACTCTATGGCACATAACAACAAACAACATATACCACATTACGTTTTCATCTTCACATGGGCTGATCTCTTCCATTTCAGGGCAAGAAGTTGCCTTATCACCTTGGAGACGAGGCAGAGGAAGGAGAAGTGTCCGATGAGGACAGTGCAGATGAAATTGAAGACGAGTGCAAGTTCAAGCTCCATTATGTAAGTCACAGACCTGACCGCACTCCTTCCCTTCACTGTCTTCCAGTATGAATGGGATTCTAGACTGCTCGTGTCGGAAGTACAAGTAGGATAGCTGTAGTGCAAAAATAATATTGTATTTTACAATTACCTTTTATGTGGTTTGCTGGCACTCATATGTTTGTTGGATGTTTGAGCCAAGGACTCTGGGGTCTTGGGGTTAGAAGGACTGTTACAGGAACCCATTTAGTTTCCTCTCATGTGACAAATCTATTACAAACACCAAGTTATAGCTGCAGAAACCAATGTCTTGATTAGCTAGTGCTGTTGTAATACAAGATACTATACATGGTGGCCTTCAAAGAACAAAACTGATTTTCTTGCTATTTTGAAGACTCAAAATCCTTAGTTCTAGAAACAGGTCTTTCCTTGTCTGTTTCCAATGCAAAGAGCTAATGTCAACTGTGTCTACTCTGCTGTTTTTAAAGCTCAGTTGTGATTGGATTTACGGAGGCTCTGGTGGCCTAGTGGTAAGGAGCAACGCTGCCAGCCCAAAGGCATGTGGTTCAAATCCATCAGCTTCTCCACAGAGAAGATGTGCAGCTCCTCCAGTGTGGTTTACTGTCTCTGAAACCCCCCTGGAGGGTCAGCCGTGAGTTAGTGCTGACTCGTCAGGACCTAACCACAATTCTGGGGTGCTCTCAGCCCACGGAAGAAAAGCCCCATGGCCTGGCTCGGTGACATCCACAGATAAAGGAACTTCAGTGCGTACTGGAGTGGATAAAATATAATGCGTAATAGTCATTGTATTTGTTCACAATTCTGTCTTGGTCTTCCACACCATCCTACTATCTTGTGGGCTACATGAGGTGCTAGCTTGCACATCTCTAGCCACACACAGACTTGTTTCTCTGGGATGCGTGCTTCTTTCTGAGAAAATATTGTCAGGATTCTCTGCAGTAGAGAGGATTTATAAACCTCTTCTCGACATGAGTTTCTTCTTTAGTCTTCTTTTTAAAAAATAGGTGGTGCCTGTTGGTGTGCATGTATATGTACAGCATTTGCCAGTTCAGTGGCATCAATTCCATTCATCCTGATGTTCAGCCTTCACCATAATCACTGCCGAATTCCCCATCATCATTAATAGATATTTACTGTTAAACGGTGACTTCTTCTGTCTCTGACTCCATACCCCTGGTAAACACTAATAAACTTTCACCTCTATCCATTCCCCTATTCTTCATATTTTATGTGCGTGAGGACATACAAGAATTGTTCTTTTATTTATTCATTTTTTAAAAATGTGTTCTCTTGTGATTGGCTCATTTCATTCAATGTGTATTCAAGGTTCGCACATGTACCTTGTATCGGGACTTCCTTTCTGTATATAAGGAACTAAGTTGTGTTTTCTTAACACATTCTGTACAAGTTAGAGTCAACTTGAGGATACCTAACAACAACAGAATTCTATTGTATGTATATACTGCCTTCTGTATGCCCATTTATCCATCGCTTGACAGTTGGTTTGTTTCCACGGTTTGGCTATTTTGCCTAATGCTGCAGTGAACATTTGTGGATCTGTCTCTGTTTGCATCACTGCTTTCAAGTCTCTTGAGTACTATATACCTGAGTAGAACTGCTGGGTCACATATTAGTGCTCTGTTAAACTTTTAAAAAAATTTAATTCATTATTTTTTTGTGTACCGTCAAATTGGATCTGACTGGTACAGGAGGAGACCGCCCCTCCTTCTCCAGCAGAACATCGAGTGGATTCAAACCGCGTACCTCTGGGATTACTGTGCTGCTTCTTGCCACTAGGCCACCAGAGCTCCCTTCTGTTAAACTTTTTGCTGGCTACCAAACTGCCTTCTACATCAGCTTTGCCACTGAACATTTTCACCAAAAAGGAATCGAGGTTCAAGTTTCTCCAGACCCTCTCCAACATTTGTTATTTCTGAGCTTTCTCTTGGGCAAAAGCTGCCGTTTGGCTTGTATGGCTGATTGCTGAGTGGTGTGAGTTCCTTCGTGTGTGATGGTCACCTCCAGGCTTGTCCATGCTTTGGCTGGCAGTTGAGTTCCTGTCTGAAGAGTGGTTAAAGGCGCTGCTGGCCTGGAGGTCCTGATGGCTGTAGCAGACCAGCAAATGTGGTCTTTTTTGTGTGGTTTTAGTTAGCTGTACATTTCACCTCCACTCTCTCCAGGGGTTTGTGTTGAGGTCCCCTTTCAGAACGGTCAGCAATAGCACACGTGATCCCTAATAACTTTTGAGCTCCATCTTTCCCTATTTTATAGAAATGGAATCATACAATATTTGACCTTTTGTATCTTATTTCACTCAGCATGTTTATAAGGTTCACATATGTTGTGTGTTAGAATTTCATTTCTCTTTATTGTCTGTATCTGCCATATCTTGTCTATCCACTAGACATCTCTTTCTTCTATTTTTGAGGGTAAAATAGTAAAGATAGATTTATTAGAGAGTTACATCCCCAAAGGGACGGGCCTCTTCCTTGAAATATGGAGAAGAGAGGCCTATCCATTCATCTCTTAATAAGTGTTTAGGTCATTCCACTGTGCAAAGTGCTGGAGTCAGTGTTAGTGGACAGAATTCTGCCAGCACTCCTGTTTTTGCCTCTTTTGTTTATATACACACCGAGAGCTGGGATTGCTGGCTCTTATCCCTGTCCTATGTTTAACTTCTGAGGCCTCATCAAACTGTTTCCCACAGCGGCTGCATGATTACCAGTTGTGGACGAAACAATCATCTTTTACAAGATTTAGAATCGTGTCTATAGACAAGTATTACTTCCCAGCTAGTCCTCTTGATATCAAGAATCTGATATCTAAAAGCAGATACATTTTGTGGAAATGGTTCTGATGTGTATCATTGCCATGCATTCATTATTACATTGTTAAAGACAGCTCACTGTCTTCTGTGGTCTATAATGCCTGGTCTGCAGGTGCTGAAGGGAGTTGACATTATTTTCAAAGTGGACAGAAGGTTAATGGTAGGGCCAGTCTTGGGAGACACTCTTTTCTTGATTTTAACGTCCTTTAAAAGTAACAAGATGGGTGAGATTCCACTTGAATTGGAAAGGAAAAACTATCATTTGTATTAATCACTCATTTTTTTTCATATCTCACATTAGTTCTCTTAAATGACGCTAATTAATATGGTTATGGTTGCAAAAATGTAACACATTTGCATAAAAGAAAATACAGTTAAAATTTTAAATATCTTCTTTGCTCCTAGACACTTTCTGTCTGTGATTGTGAATAATTTAGTTTTATTTTATGAACCATATTTTTGTGTCCAGTTTTCTTTATCTCTACATCTTGTTCAGCAAAATGCTATCACCTGAAAATTGGCAAATCCGGAGGCTTGTCAAGATCACATTTTTAAAGAATGCTGGGGTTTTGGTGTTGATTGTTTTGTTTTGTTTTATGCTCCTTCTCAGAGTGATAGAAATTTAATGGCCTGTGGACAGACATCTGTTGTTCTGACTAAAATCAGTGTTCTAATTTCCACACTTATTTTGGTTTTTTTTACCGTTATCTGATATCTGTGAATCTTCTAGCTTTGTATAGTGAATATCTCTAATTAGAAAGTTCAACTGAGAGTTCCAAAGGTTTAATAAGGGCAGATCCGTAACTTCACCTGTGAAATATTCCAATTGTACCTCTCTTAATTTCTTGTTGTTGTGAATGGCAGAGTCAGAACTGACCCATGCTGACCTTTCAGTAGGTTTTCTGAGGCAGTGAGGTGAACAGGCGGAGATTGCCCATCTTTTTCCTCATGGATCAGTTGGTGGATTCAAACTGTGTACCCTTCATTGGCAGCTGTCACTAAGCCCCAGAGTTCCACATACTTTCTTGGCACCCATATAAAGTAACACTTTAGAACCGACTTCCATGAAGAGAGGCCCGATCTGCCATTGCTTCTTTGATCTGGTCCTACGCACGATGGGGAGCACTATGTGTAAAGTGGTTTCCTTCTTCTGGTTTGGAAAAGAAAATACATCAAGAAGCCAACATTCTAGTGGCAATAAGTAATTTTCACTCTGCTTTAAAGATCTCTATTTTCTATACTTACGAACTCTTATGAGAAAACTCCATGTTGTATTTGGAAGCATAAGTGTTTTGCTGTAGTTAGGTCAGGTGACAAGAGTCCTACTGTCCACAAAAGGCTCCGCTGTGTTGTCTGAAGGGCAAGTTCAATCCCAGATACCTGGAGGCCTTCTGTAAAAGGTAATGTACAATGCATGGGTTAATTCATACCAATAATTACCCCAGCAGAAGTGCCTCCTCCCAGTCTTAAGCTAACAGAACATGGTTAGAGGTATTAGTTACATCTGACATCCTTCAATAAAGGGAGACTTGAGCTTAGTATTCATGGACATTGGAACATTAGTTCCACTGAGACTTAAACAAGATTCATCTACTCAGTCAACAATTTTTTTTTAAATGCACACCCATCATTGCCGCAGGTAGTAGAAGATAGATCTGTTAACAAAGCGGACACGAATCTATTCCTGTATGCAGATTATACATCAGTGGAAGAGAAAGACAATAAGCAGTATAAATAAGGAAACTATGTAGGGTACTCCATCACAACCAGTTACTGTCAAGTTGATCTTGATTCTCAGTGAAGCCATGTGTGTAAGAGCAGGACTGTGCTATGTGGCATTTTTGATGGCTAATTATGTTTTTTATTGTTTCATGAAATTCTTCTGTGTCTGCCAATTCCTTTCAATACAGAGACTCAGTATATTCTTTCCATCTTCTTTTAATACTTAATCA